GCGCCGATGGGACGGAACTTCCCGTTGGGCTTGCGGAGGACCGTCAGGCTGGTCGCGCGCAGGCGGTGGGCCACTATAGGCGCCACGCACCCATTGATCATGTCGGTGAGGATCGCCGTGATCTCGGTTAGAAGGGCCGCGTCCAAGGTGAGGGGGTACAGGAGTTCGCGTGTCCACCCGTCGAGCCCTGGGGCTGCTCCCCGCGTGAGGCGGCGCTGGATAACCTTGGCGACCGTTTTCGCGTCCAGGGTGACGATCGGTGGGAGTGTGGGGGGCTCCGGGTAGGATGCCGTGTCCTCCTGCGGGTACAGGGCATCCAGGCTGGCGACCATCTCATCTGAGAGCCTCACCGGGTCCGCGTCCGCCGAGGTGAGGAGGGCTGCTGCGCGCCCCGTCGCCTGTAGCATACAGAGGGTCTCCACTCGTTTCACCTTCTGCCGCGTCGCGCTGGTGAGGGTGTGGGCCGGGTCCCCGTNCTCCTGCTCCTCGTCTCGGGGAGGCGTGGGGGTGTTCGGTGGCGGTGGCCGCGGCCTGTCCCGGGGCTCTTTTTCGTGGAGCCGCAGGTGGCCTCTCACCAGATCGAGGATGGCGATTTGCTTCCTCCATCGCTCGCCTGGGGCCGACGCGTTGTATCCCAGCATGGTGGCCCGGCATACCTCCAGCCACGCCGGCCATTCCCGCTTATGAAGGTACCGTCGCGTTGGTACTTTTTCCTTCAACCACGGGTCCTCCGTGGGGTCGGTCGCGTCGTTGGCCGGCCACTCGCGCAGGGGTTCAATTTCCGTGTACGCTGGTCGGTGTGCGGCCTGGCTCCCGGTGGAGGCTCGGAAGGCCTCCCGCTGTGCCGCCATGTTTTCCTTGCGACATGTATACTGGCCACAGCGGCCCTGGTGCGCCCGGCGGGCGCGCAGGCTGGCTGCCAGGATCTCCCCGCACGTGTCGCAGCGCACCAGACCTTGTGCGATGAGGGCCTCATTCGTGATGCTGAGACGCTCGTGCTTCTGGTGGACTGCGTGGATGTGAGAGCGGAGCTGGCCTCCGCGCCGGGGCCCCGAGAAGGACTGGTGGCAGCCGCCGGCTGTGCATTGGAGGGGGTCCGGCAGCGCGGGGGTGTCCTCATGGGAGAACACCGCCGCGGTGAGGGGGGTGTTTTCCCCCTCCTCGTCCGACTCTGCCAATGTGTTGTCGCCGTATTCGTCGTCGTCCAGGTATTGGGTCCCGGACACTCTGCCCTCCTGGATGCTCGCGAGGTCTTCTTCGCAGCACTCGTCGAGCCGCACCGTCGTAGGTGGCCCGACGTGTCGCCGGCCTGGTTGACCGTAGCGTACTCTGCCGGAGCCGTCTCGGCCGAGAGACCTGTCGGGGTGCTGCCGCGTGCACGGAAGCACCTCTGCGTCCTCGTCCACCTCACCTACATATTCAGTGCTGATGTCGTCTTCGTCCTCCGGCGGTGGGTCGACGCGGCGATAGATGCTGAGGATCACCTTCGTCGTGTCGATTCCGTGGGTGATCTTCTGCCGGTTCTGGCCGTCGATCCGCTCCCACGCCGTGTTACCTGTGGCCTTTGGGATGTACGCCACTACGTGTGTTGGCGAGGATGCCGCCACGACGCCGACGAGCGTGTACTGCGCCGAGCCGTTGCCGTGCGGCATGTCCAGGTCAAACGGTAGGTCGTCTACGCCCTTCGCTTCGCCATTCCAGTGGTCATATTCCACCGCCACTGCTGACGCGAAGAGGTGTGACGTCGAGACCGTCATGGCGCACGGGTGGTGGGGGGTACCCCGCTCGGCCCCCGAGCAGATGTGTGTCGCCTCCGTGCGTGTCGTGGCGTACTTGGCCGCGAGCAGCGCAGGGGTGAACTGCACCGGGGCGTTCTTACCCGATGAGAGACTGAACACCGCCGCTCCCAGTGCCACGTTCGCTGGCTGCGGTGCCGACATCCATCCGCACTGCGGGCATCCCACGGCCGTGACCGCCTGGGAGGCAAAGGCTTCTCTCAGGTGGCCGTCCTTGGAGCAGAGTTGCTCTAGCGCCGTGGTGGGGGCCATGGGAAGTTCCACGTCCATGGCTTGTACGAGCTGCATCGTCTTGGCGCGCGATGGCGCCACGTACGTGTCCCGGATGGCCGGTTCCATAAGCGCCTCCGTCGGGAGGTGCGACAGCACCGCCACCACTGCATTCACCGAGCAAGAAAACTCCACTAGAGTGGTGCCCTTGCTCGGGCGGTGCGTGCTGTACGGGTAGCACTTCTCCTCGTCGGGGTGTGCCCTCCGACAGTGCGTAAATACCTGGCTCTCCGAGTGACGGTGATAGGCGCACCGGGGGCAGTGGTGGTCCCCCGCGGCCTCGTGGCACGCGCTCCACCACCGTTCGCGCTCCCGCAGGGCCCGGCCATACGTATCGTACTTTTCCGTGATCGCCTGCCGTTCGACGGCTTCCAGGGCCCGCGCCAGGGTCGCCGGGTTGCTTGTCTGCGGTGGCTGTGGCGCCTGTGGTGCCTGCCCCGTCTTGGGCTGCTGTGCGGCCTCCGGGGCCCGGTTCG